TCAATTAGAACTCTACTTGTTTAGTATTTTTCTTCATATTTTACGAGTTAATTAGGTTATTTGATATTAGGCATAAGACTTTATTGATTGCATAGTAAATAGAAGGAGGATTTGCTTTCAAACTTTTTTCTTAATTGAATTATCTAGAATTCATCAAAGATTTTCAATCTTTGTGGCGTTCAACCCTTGCTGTCTTGGTTATTGATTCAAGAAATCATTGGGTTTCTAACACATGTTCTGCACCGGGGCTCACAACATTTACCAAAATATATGGAAGTGTATCAAGATGTGCAAAACGTACCAAACACGTCAAATTTAGAAAAATACACCAAGTGTAAGAAAACTTGTACACAAATAATTAAAATGTACTCACATATGCAAAATGTGGCTTAATAATATACCAAAACATATACCAACACACTACAAAAAAAAAAAAATTTGACAAGATGTATCAAAGCATGTGTTATACACTAAAATGCACCAAAATGTGCCATATGTTGTACCAACCCCCCCCCCCCCCCCCAAAAAAAAAAAAAAAAATTGGTAAAAAAAAACCAAAATGTGCCATATGTTGTACCAACCCCCCCCCCCCAAAATGTAGTAAATTTGTTAAAACATTAGAAAAAGAGTGAAATCTATAAAAGTAATGAAATGTACCGAAATGCTTAGTAATGTAAGTGGTACCAAATGTCTTAAATGCACAAAATGCAACAAAAAAATTCGAAATTTGTGAGAAAATATGTGCCAAAAATGATCGAAACACTGCAAAATAATCCAAAACATGCCAAATCATAATGCTCCAAAGTATATAAAATGCACGAAATGTGGCAAATCTACGAGACTATAAAAAATGAACAAATTTCTAAATATGCACCAAAATGCAACTAAATTTAGCTCACAAGATGTATGATAACACTCTAAAATATACTAGTATAGCGAAATGTACGAAAATTGTAGATATGTACAAAATGTCTGAAATGAATGTTAAAGATCCAAAATATATCAACCTCCACGAATGGTACAAAAATGAACCACAAAACATAAAACACCAAATTTTCCATAAAACTGTGCCAAAAAGTGACTGATGCACATTAAGTGGAAGGGAAAGTCATAAACCGATTCGAAAAGAAAAGGAGTGAGAAAATGTGCATAACATTCAGCTCAATAGTCATATTTTCGTCTATATGTCCAATCCTAAAACTTTTCTACTCTGCATATCTCTGTTATATAACTTGGTCAATCTCTCATGGTTAAATTCTATTGTTCAAAGGTCCATGTTAGCATTTTTTTGTTTTGACTAGTTTATGGGCGTTTTCGTTATTTTTGCAATATTTTAGTCCCATTTAAATCACTTTTCCAGATTTCTAGCTTATTTGTATTTGTCTATAGATTTAGGTTTCATTTAGAATTGAATTTTTGAGCTTGTCTATATAAGGCTTCTTTCTTTGGGCCTCTAACAACAAATTATTTGAGAGATTCATACCAGAGTGAGATTTTCACTTTCAATCTTGCACTTCTTGGAACTTATCAAATATTTCCATACTTTGTGCCATTCAAACAATCTTGCATTGGTTCCGGATTTAAGAAATCACTGTGCCAATTTTATTCATCTGATTTTTCCATTCTTGAGGTTATCAAATCGTGTGTTAGTTCCATGGTACATCCAGCAACGGGTTTGTATCATTTGGTATTGGAGTTTTAGATCTAAAATAAAGTTTTGTTTTTTATCTTCCTTTTTATTTTCTAGTTCTAATTTCTTTGTTGTTTTTGTTGAGCATTCATCCCATTCTTTGCGTCATTCACATCTAAAGTCATACCAAGAACATTCAAGAATAGACTTATGCACCACCATAATTTTCTTGTGATTGATTGATTTCAAGAAGATTCACTTCCACCCGAATTGTTATCAATCCACAAAGGCTCATTACTCATTGAAATATACTCATAAAGATTTGCAACATTCCGACTAGGCTCTTGACTCAATTTCTTCCACCTAAGATTCAATCAAGTGCACTGAGTTGGTCATTTTTCATTTATCTCATCGTGAAACTTGGTGTCTTGCTCGTTGCACGTTAATTCTCAGCCCAAGTTTTTCGAACAAGTCCTTGCATGACTTTCTTGATATTTTTTGTTATTGACCTATTGGCCCCTTAGAAAACACATAAAGATTCCTTTGCTAGCTTGCTTTCTATTATTCTCATCATTCCTTCCATCTTCAAAAGGATTTGACCTCCACTTTTCACCTGCATTCATTCTCTGCAATTCGTCACGTTGCTTTGCACATGAAGAATTGGTTGTTATGCTCCCTGGACGTAAATTCTCCTTTATTAGTATCTTAATAGTTAAATAAAATCACGTGTATGCACTCAAATGTATCACTCTATATTGGATTTTTCCATAAATACAATCAGCTCACCACTCTTGCCTTTTCCTCTCTATGCTTTCTGGTCAAGTTCCCTAAGGAGCTAACTAATCTCAATCAAGAATTTAGTCTTTTCAATGTTAAAAATGACAAGAACTCAAGAAACAAGTAGGATAACAAAACTCAAGAAGATAAGATCAAACAAAGAATGGAAACACCCCAGAACTCCAAGAAATGATTTCTTGATTTGGTTTAAACCCTTTTCACAGCAAGATTGATTTTCAATGACGATATATTTATAAAATGGTGTTTGTTGAAAATAACACCATGAGAATTTCAAGAAAATGTCGACCATGCATTTCTTGAATTTTCATTGATGACAACTTAATGAAATAGATCAATCACAAGGGAAAAGACCAGCAAAAAAAAAAAATTATGTTGTAATCAATTTCCTGAATGACTCAAAGAATGTGATGAATACTCAATAAAAAAGACAATAATTTGAACTAGAAAACAAAAAGGAAGACAAAAACAAAACATGTTTCAGAGCCAAATGTAATTGACCACCCATTCGGCCCCTAATGTTCAAAGACACCCAAAGGTAGCCTTTCTACACATACCACCACAAGATAAGATGTACAAAATCAGAATAATATAAAGAGGTAGAAAGGTTGCCATCATACATAAGGGACATTGTTAGTGCACTTTCAAAAACACAGCAATAAGCCTGCAATAAGCAATCATGCCACATGGGTAGGGGAATTCTCTAACTCACTCTCCCACTCAATCTGCTAATGCCCTCGTAGTAGACAGGTGCTTCGCCTCTCCATGCATTGCATAGTCCAAATTAGTGGGTCCGAAAATTTCTCCACAATTGCGACATCATCCCCATGATCTGCGAGCATCCTCAATGCCCTCTATCTCTCTTTGCATAGTACCTCGTACATGCCACCTTCGACACTTCCTTTACTCTATAGGCACCTCTGCATTAGTTCCTAAGTGGACGGCACTTCTAGTTGCTGCATCACCACCTTTGTCGAAGTATTCCACAAATGCCCCCACTATTCAAGTTCCACAACAATTCTTCAATAATGCCCTTGCTAAACAAACTTTCATCCAGTGGGCAAAATTGCATAACGCATGCTCTGACACCCATCATCTTCAAAGCTTTCCATCCTTGATTATACTTGCTTGCCAACCGCTTTGCCACATGTTGGTGGTCCCAAAATCTTCTCCTCAGGAACATACGCCGTTAGTCTTAGGCAAACCAACACCACAATATTTGGAGTGGACTTGCTCTGATATCACATGTAACAGACTATTTGATTGAGCCTTGAGGTTCTAAGACACCCCAAGGCAGCCTTTCCCCCACATGCAGCCGGCAAGCTAAGATATGCAACATCAGAAAAATATGAGGTAGAAAGCTTGACATCATACTTGTAAAAGGGACAGTTCACCTCAAAAAATATAGCAATAAACCCATAGTAAGCAATCTTACCATGCAACATGGGAAGCGGAGTTCTCCAGGTCCATGACTCAAAACTTTGATACCAACTAATGTAACACATTGCAGGATTTACTCCGGAACCCACACAAGATTAGATACGAACTCCTAGAACGCTAAAATTGGGCTACAATTAGGGCTGTCAATGGATTGAATTTTGATCCAAATCCGATGAAATTAATGGGAGATGGATTTAGGATCTTAGTTTGATAACCCGATTAAGATCCGAATCCGATGATCCGTTAAATAAATGGAGCAAATATGGATATAGGTAAATCCGATCCGATAACAATCCGATCCAATTTATTATAACAAAATATATTTTGTATATTATCACATAATTTATTGCAATTTTTTTTTTTAGAAAAATTGATCTTATACTTTATGAATTTTAATGAATTTTTAATTAAGGATGTCAAAATTATTAAATTCCAATAACACTAATATATATTATAATAAATTGTGTATTGAGGGGAAAAAAAATAAAGAGATGTTGAAACACGAATGGGCTTGACACTTCCATCCCAATCCATGTGCCAATTTGACAAATGAGGATAATGGGCTTGATATTATCATCTCTTCCAGCCACGTTTGACATTTTGGTTTCCTGAACATTCTTTTTTCTTTCTAAAATTTAATCAGTTAATTCAAAAAAACCATTCATATTTTCCAAATTCTAATTGGACCGTAGATGAATCAGATTCAAAAATGGAAATCCCATGGTATTCTCCATCTTTAGCCCATATTTACGTTTCTACGACTCTTCATCTCTACGACTACGCAGCAAGGACGGATATTCTTCTAAAACTTAAGGTTTCTTCTTCTTTGATTTTTCTTTGTATGTCATCTCCAACAAGATTTCATCAGTATATATGCCCTTAGAAATTTAATGCCCTTTTCTTGTTTTGTTTTCCTCAAGTTGTTTTAACTTATTAACCTTCATTTTCTAATTTTTCTTGTTTTGTTGTTTTCAATTTGTTGTTTCATTGTTTCCCTCATTGTTTTAACATATTGACCTTGATTTTAGGGCTTTTTGGATACATATCATTTTGACGAGCTCAACACTGAAGTAGAGAAAAAAGATGATGCTAGGAATGTTATACAAGTTGAAGATTCACCTCCACCTCCTAAGAGATGAAAATTGACTTCAAAGGTATGGAATGATTTTATAAAATTTGAGAGGCCAAAAGGAAATGAAATTACAAAGTGCAAACATTGTTGTAAAGAATTTGTAGGAGAGAGTGTTAAAGGAACTAGCCACTTAAAGAATCACTTAGACAAGTGTAATGGGAAAAGTAGTAGAGACATTGGTCCGCAAATGCTATCCATATCCAAAAGTTTCCCTGAGGCTGCTGCCATGGTTCAAAATCGTAAGTTTGACCAATTGAAAAGTAGGATGGATTTTGCTAAGATGGTTATCATGCATAATTATCCTTTTAATATGGCTGAAGTTGGATGTCCTTGAAGTTTACAAACGTGAAAAGGAAAAGTTACACAACCACTTAGAGAAACTCCCAGGTAGAATCACTCTAACTACTGATATTTGGACATCTGATCATCAAGATATTGGTTATATATGCTCACACATCTCATTTTATTGATGATAATTGGGAATTGAACAAAAAAATAATCGGTTATAGATGTATCAAATATCCTCATGATGCGGAAACCCTTTTTACAGTCAATGATGCGATGGTAAGAAGTTTGAAAAGTTGGCTTTGTGACAAGTCTTAAATAGCTTTGGAAGGTGAGTTATTTCACGTGCATTGTAGTGCTCATATTCTTAATTTGACTGTGCAAGACGGGTTAAAAGTAATTGGAGTGTTTATTCATAAGGTTAGAGAAACTGTGAAGTATTTGAAAAGGTCTCCATATGCAACACAAAAATTTGAAACTGTGAAGTATTTGAAAAGGTCTCCATATGCAACACAAAAATTTGAAACTGTGAAGTATTTGAAAAGGTCTCCATATGCAACACAAAAATTTGAAACTGTGAAGTATTTGAAAAGGTCTCCATATGCAACACAAAAATTTGAAACTGTGAAGTATTTGAAAAGGTCTCCATATGCAACACAAAAATTTGAAACTGTGAAGTATTTGAAAAGGTCTCCATATGCAACACAAAAATTTACTCATGCAAAATATCAACTTAGGTTGATAGATAAGAAAAAGGTGAAGATGGATTTTTCTACTAGGTGGAATTCTACTTTTGAGATGATTGAAAGTGCAATAGAGATGAAAGAGGTGCTTTGTCGCCTAGCACAAATAGATCGTAATTATAAACTCTATCCAAGTGATGAAGAATGGAAAATTGCTAAAGTTCTATGTGATTACTTGAGAATATTTTATGATGCAACAAATCATTTTTCTGGTTCTCATTTCCTCACATCAAATGTGTTTTTTCCGGATGTTTGTAATATTCAACTACATTTATCTAAATGGGAAAGAAGTGAGCACGGTTTTTTGAGTATGATGGCTGGCCCAATGAAATTGAAGTTTGTTAAATATTGGGAGAAGTGTTGTTTGGTATCAGCAATTGCTATTGTTTTTTATCCAAGATTTAAAATGGATTTGGCTGAATATTATTATGATAAATTCTATGGTGTTGATGCTCATACACATGTTGAAAGAGTTCATAAGGCAACATTTAACCTTTTCAATGAGTATGATGATAGTTCATCCCAATCTGAAGTGGAAGCAAGTCAAGAAGTTGGTTCTAGTAGTGATCACGAAATGGGGGCATTTCTAGAGGACCATCTAGAGGACCAATTGAGTGGGTTTGATTCTTGGTCAACACAATTTCGATCTTCTAATTTGTCATGTTCTTCGAAAAAGTCAGAATTAGAGAAGTACTTGGAGGAACCATTATTTCCAAGAACTGAAAATTTTAAAGTTTTGAATTGGTGGAAGGTTAATAATGCTAAATTCCCCACTCTTGGAAAATTTGCTCGTTACATATTAGCTGTTCCAGCAACTACTGTTGCGTCTAAGGCTGTATTTAGTGTGGGAGGAAGAGTAATTGATGATTTTCATGCTTCGTTGCTTCCGAAAACTATAGAAACTTTGGTGACCACACAAGATTTGCTCGCTTCCCCAAAAAAGAAGAGTAAGTAACTAAGTATTCTAATTATTAAGTTTGGTTATATTTTTTTTCTCAAGTGTGACTATGTATTATTATTTATTCCTTACAAGTACTTAATTTGTTACGTTCTTTTTGCAGAACTTGACGTGAATGTTACAAACAAAGCCGTATAAAATTAAAATAATGTTTCTTAATGACTAAAGCTTATGTAAGTTTTAGTTATAAATTTATGTTTTCAATTTCTTGAGATGACATTTGTTTTGTACAGCCTTTTATTCTTAAACATCCCTTTTTGTAGGCGTGGTGGACTTGTGGGTGATATGATATGGAGAGAGAGCTCAAACTTCAAAGGCTACGCTTGAGAATTTTTTTTCTTCTGTTTTTGTTGCTCACTTTATCTTTATCATTTGTTAAATATGTAGTTATTGGAATATTTTTCATATTTTGGTTCCTTTTAATTTGGTATTATTTTGTGGATTGTTATGGAAATTGTCAATAGTAACATATAGTTATTTCCTTATATCACAATAAAAAAAATGTGTAAAATATTTCGGATCGGATATCCGATAACATAGCAAATTGGATATGAATTTAACAATCTAATATCTGTTGGATTATCGGATCGGATCGGATCAGATCGGATATGGGTAGATCCGATCCATATCCGATCCATTGACAGCCCTAGCTACAATGTTTGAATAGTTCAAAGAGTGGAAATCTACAAGAAGTACTGGATAGTTCACTTGAGAACAACGACGAAAATGAAAAACTCACATTACAATTTTTCTCTCAAATAATATGTTCTTTGTACAACGAATAAAAACCTTATATATGCGAATTTAAAAATCCGAGTCTAAATAAAACCCTAATTCTAAAGGCAAACACAAATAAACTACAAAATTGTAAAATATAACTGAATAAAACTAAAATATTGTAAAAATAAAGAAAAAATAAGTAGACTGACTCAAAACATAAAAATGGTAAAATGGACACCACTCCGTATCGATGAGGTGACATTTGCTCTACATCGGTCTAGGGAGACGAGGGTATGCATTGAGGTTAACTTGGAGTATCAACTCACTGATAGAGTTTGGATTGAGAGGAAAAAGCAAGGAGGTTATTAGAAGACTTTTTTTTTATGGAAAGATGCCAGAGTATTGTGTAAAATGTTGACACTTAAGGGAATATTGATGAGCACGGCATGGTTGATAACACCATGTACCACCTCTTATGGCCTTAGTTGTACCAATTACTAACTCCTTGGCCTACTCTAGTACTAGCCAAGGATAAGGGCAAGGGGAAGGAAGTTGAGGTTGAGCTTTGCAAGAGGTGGACACCAGTTCACAGAGAGCAGAGGATATGACATGTTTCTAGCACTTTAGGTGCTCATATTCAGTTTGTTGCTCCACATGTGCCTCCTACAGTTAGTAAGGCTTCATCATTTATTAGCATGGTTACTCCCCATATCAATTTCGAGCTTCAAACTAAAGTTTTGTGGCTCCTAATTCAATTAGTCCTCAAATTAAGTTGGTTACCTCCATTAGGTGCTCCTCTAGTGGTTCAATTAGTTGTCCCAACCAGTGTAGATCCTTTGACTGTCACTACATGCTGTAGCTTTGACTCCAACACAAACTGCCAAACCATTATATGGCTCATACTTCAATCCCCTAGTGAACATTATGATTCAGAGGCAACATGTATTGGTTGACTTAGAGATAGAGCTGCTAGGTTCACGAATATCGTAAGCCTTACTCCAAGTTGGGGTTTGGGCACCTGTTACTTTTAGTCCTCCCATCTGCCAACATATTATGGAGGCATTCATACTTTCTCTGCATTTTTAGCAGTCAGACCTATAGTTCGACATAGACTAAGTATTATGGTTGTTGCCAACTCCATCAGTGTGTTCTTATAAAATCAACACTGATGGATACATCAATGATGGATTGCGAGTAGCGAGGGCATCATTTTGGACGACATAGATCATTGCATAGGGCATTTTGGCATCATATTGCCCATGTTTGATTTTGGAGGCTAAATTTCGAGATGCACTGATGGGATTCTACTGGCCAAAGGACTTGGGATATTAGCTACTTGGGTTGAGACAAATTCTACTGTAGCTATTCACTGCATCACTAGGGGATGGAGGACCATAGACGATTTTGGGCATTCTCAAATAGATCAGAGACCTCATCTAGTTCGACACATACATAGTTTTCTACATCTAGAGGGAGGGAAGCAAGTTGTAGATTCTCTTGTTTTAGAGGGTTTGGATCATTGGCGCTATCAAGTATCTAAACCACTAGACCTACCTCGATAGATTAGGGCACTTGTGAAGATGTCATACATGGACTACCCAACTTTAGAGGTCTATAGATAAGTTGATATTTTCATTTATTTTTTTTGAGATACAAAAGCTCATTGTTTTCTGAAACATACTCATAAAAATTTTCAACATTTTGGCTAGGCTCCTGGCTCAATTTCTTCCACATTAGTTCGAATCAAATGCACTAAAGTCGGTACTTTTCGTTCACGCTCATAGTAAGACCCATCTTGCTCGTTGCCCATGAAATATTAGCCAAAGTATCTTGCCTTCCATGATTCATTCTCTACTTTAAGATCTTCTTGCATGACTATCTTGACATTATTTATTATTGATCTAGTTTATCGAGCCCTCATAAACATGTAAAGGATCCTTCGCTAGCTTCCCTTCAATGATTATTATCATTTTCTCCAATCTTTACCTTCATTCATCCTCTA